TTTTCCACACTTCACATCCATGGTCAGATTTCTTCCACATAGGCCTATGTAATCCATTATATACAATAATTATGTACATGTAGATTTATCTAATTATTAATTAAATATGTTTAATTGATTTGATTTTCAACCTAAAATTTATTATACTTGTTCATCATTTATTCGTATGTAGAAGAGAGAGAGGGTAGATGAGAGAGAAAGAGAGTAAATTGGTTGGAAAATAAAGTCCTACTTTTTCCCAAAAAAATATTTTCCTTGTTTTTTAGGAAAATATGGTCACGTGACCAACTTTTGGAAAATATTTTCCGTAGAAAGATATATATCGTGAATCAAACAACTCAAAAATGTGAAAATAAAATCAATCAAACACACGTTTAAGTAGAGATGCCTGCACCCCTGTCCCGCCCTACCTTAGACGGGGCGGGGCGGGCGCAGGTCTGCCCCGTTTCCCGCCCTTTTTTTTTTTTTTGTTTTTTTTCAAGAATTTCCAATTAAAATACAAATTCAAAATTTTAAAATTTAAAGCAAGCACTCAAAACAAACAATGTCCAAAACAATTTTTTTTTTTAATTCTTCACACCTAGCCCCGCCCCGTCCTGCCAACCCGTTGGGGCGGGTTTTTTCTGCGTATTTTTGCCGTCACTACGCTTAACGGCTTAAGCTATAGAAAACTGTCAAAAATTAGACAAGAAAAACGACAAAAAGTCACGATATATATAGTTAAGCAGTTCATACATTGATTTATTTATTTCCACACAACATCCATATGTAAAACCAACGCTCCCTAGTGTTTAGGAACCCACACAATGTGTTCCATAGGAAGGAAATGGCAGACTGGAATATTCCCTGGTTTCACCTTCAGCACCTGAAAAGCCAAGTGTTTCGGGTTCCACGCCGTCGTATCCTTGTGGCAAACCGCCACAGCTTCCACCTTTGTGCCATTGTCCCCCACCATCGCCACCTTGTAAGCCATGGTGGTTTCTGTCTTGTGGCAGTAAAAAACAACATATGCATACCTTTGCTTGTGGCAAGCAACTACTTTCTCCCCCGATATTTTCTTGACCTTAACAATTCTGTACTTCTGCAATGGAGTTTCCTGCTCTGTCTCAAAAGAAACTGCCTCGACTTTTGGTCCCAACTTGGAGGTGCTGAAATCCACCATGGATTCCAATGAAGTAGCGCAGTATTTTTCTTCTCCTTTTATCCCTGCCTCTTCGCATTCTTGAATTGTTTTCTTCATGATGTTGGCTTTTTTCGAACTGGGATTCACTGAAAATCTATTAAGAATTTCTAGAAACTTTTCTGACGAAAATGGAATTGAATCAGCAACCCGACGAGGCAATAAACTCCCCCGATCATATGCACTCTTAAAAAAGTGCAATTTCATATTATTTCCTTTATAAAGATCCTTTTCCAGAAAGAACAGGGTTACATTTTGATTATCACGCAGTTGATTTTCGTCAGCTCCATGGTGATAGATGATGGGAAATGCATCTGGTGTGATTCCAACGTTGACTGGTTTGCCTGAAAATTGGTTGAATTGGAACTTATTTTACTTCATAAAAGAAGAAAAACGTCTGTTTAAATCCATTTCAATTACATGAGAGAAAACATTTAAAATACATGTTTTTGAGAAAGAAGAAAAAAGCCTTTTTATTAATTTATTTGGTTTTTTTTTTATCACTAGTTCGACCCTTTGGCTTTTCCGAGTCGATGCTCGAATTAGTTTTCAAAGCACTGATCTACACACAAGATTGTAAGTTCAAGACAAACCAGGATGGAGAAGATCCTTCACAGCTTTAGGCATGGAAGAGTTAGGCAGCACAGATCTCCAGTAATCTTCCTGTGAAGGTAAAGCTTCATGGCTTGCCACAAATGCCACCTGAAACAAATGCAGAAAACATACACTTTAACTTCATTGAGAACACAGAGAAGTATAAAAATATAAATTACTCACAGAAAGAAGTAAAAATATATTCTGAAACTTGAAGTCCATGGGATCTCTAATAGAGCAGCAACAGGTAGAAAAAAAATGGAGTAATTGGAACTGAAAACAAAGAGGGTTGGTTTTAAATTTTGATGGAAGAAAAAGTGATTTATTGCAGCATTAATATTTGTAACAAGTATAAATTGTTGAATTAATATATGAACCAAAAGATATTATTGCTTCAACTGTATTTGGCTCACCCAATTTCATTGACGTGTCAATCCCAAGTACACGTGGGGTTGCATTTGGAGGAAATACTTGCAAATGGCACAAAGAAAAGGCCATAATTCATATTCATATTTGGCCTTTGACCAGTAAATATGTTAAAAAAATAATAATAATAAAGTATAACATTGGACAAGTAAAAACCAAAAGGGTAATGCTACATGTACACACACACTTTTACACAATCTTTTACACCTCTCTCACATGGAGGGGGGCCCACACATAATAAAATAATCGTGGACCCCCCTCCATGTGAGAGAGGTGTAAAAGATTGTGTAAAAGTGTGTGTGTACATGTAGCATTACCCATATATAAATATTTTTTTGACAGTNCATTCTCACTGGGAATGCATCCCCAGTCTATGTGGCGTTAATGTGGCATTAAATGATATGTGAAATTAAATAAGTCATTTAATTTCACCTATCATTTAACCAATCATTTACATCCACATAGATTGGGAATACATCCCCAGTGGAGATGAATAGCATTTTTCCAAAGAAAATGCCATAATTCATATTCATATTTGGCCTTTGACCAGTAAATATGTTAAAAAAAATAAATAATTAAAGTATAAACTCGAACAAGTAAAAACCAAAAACACACTCACTCTCTCCCTCTTCACAAGAAAACCAACCATCCTTTTTTTATTATTAATCCGGCTAATAGTCGGCTCACCGTTTTTATTATTAAACCGGCTGTTGGGCTGGAACATGGGCCAGNTGTGTACACTTAGCATTATTCAAACCAAAAACACCCCTCACTCTCTCCCTCTTCACAAGAAAACCAACCATCCTTTTTTTATTACTAGTTTTGGCCCGTGCGATGCACGGACTTTGTTATTTTGAAGGTAATGTTAGCGTCGAATACAAAGAATTAAAGGGAGATATATGCGAGGTTAGGAAAATGAACTTAATTTAACATAGTAAATTTACATATGATTTCACGTCACCAGACCGTGCATGGTAAGGAAAATAAAATCTTAGTTTTATTAGAATATGTCTAAGGATATTAGTTAGCACATACCATGAATAAGGCCAGTTAAATGTAACCAATCTTCATTAGGATAATCTTTTCTAATTGCTTCCGCTGTCTGCAACAAATGCTCAATTTGGGGTTCATCCAAATCGAGATCACTATCATGCATAACATTATTCAAAAGTTCACAACATTCCCAAATGATCATCTGTATTTTGTCCAGTTTTCCATATCCTTTCCTCAGTCTCTTCACCTGAATACAATATTCACAATTATTCCAATGTCAAAACAAAAGAACTTTTCACTATATCCAAAGCATTTTGTTAAAGGAAACAATAGGTATTTACATATTCATATGTTTAATTGATGTGTTGCAATCGATAAAACTCGTCAACAGACTTTTGCGCCTCACTTTCGGCATCATAATCCCTGTGAAAAAATTTCGAGTCAAAAGAGATAATTAGGATTATCGTAATTAGTACAGCAAGTAGCAAAATATAAACGATTCCAACCATATAACACAGCCATAAATTATTCAAAACAGCAAAAAAAAAAAAATTATAGAAAACTAAAAGGAGTTTTAGCTCTTTCTAAAATTCGGAAAACACCATTGAATCTAAGCTCCAGCTCTTAATTCAAACCCAATAAAAAAACTCCAATTTTTCCCATCTCATAAACCCTTTGCAGCTGAAAAAATTAAAAAAATCGAGGGGAAAAATCAGCAACCACAGTTGACTTAATTAGCACACTGGTTTTCATTTTATACATTCACAAATAAACTTCACTTCTCTTGAGCTTAGAACATTGATAACCCACCTTATACCTTTTAGGTTATGAGGGCTCATTTACACTCTTTTCAACCGACAATTCTTCAATAAATAAACTCACATAATTCAACAATGTCGTAATTTAACATATAGCGAGCATTTCAAGCTAAATTGAGAAATGCATCACTTATATAAATCATCTTTATGACCATTTAAGTGAGACATTGTTTAATTGCTCAATTAATCAGATAAAATTTAATAATGCTAAGTATGCTCCTCATAGCTAAATTGCAGACCAGAGCAGATCATTGCACTGATCATAAATCTAAAAGAATACAACCTGAAATTCAGAAATCAAACAACAAACTGTCATTTCATAGTAATTGAAAAGTAGAAATTATACTATTGTGAAAGAATTCCTTAGCAATTTAGCTTCCAAGGATGACATGTCTATAGATCTTTGATTTCAAAAGGATATTCAACTTCGATCTGGAATCTAATTAAGTAAATGTTCGACTACTACAAAATCAAAGAGTCAAAATAAGCGACTGTGATAAACTTGATCTCTACATAAAAACCCTCAAGTGATGTGTCCCTATCAATATCATTGTTGACACCATATTTTGTTACGCCACATTTTATCCCACAAATTTCAGATAATGTGTTCAGGCAAAATTACCTCAAATCTAAAACTCAACAGGTAATGCCTAACAATTTAATTCATCTAGTTTACCCTACCCTATCGTGTCTCCGTGTTGCACAGAAATAAATTTAATTTTTTTTTTTTAATAAAGACTGCTATATAATAACAAATTGAATAACCTATTATATAAAGCATATCAAAACTAATTACTAAACTAATTATGAAAGTAGAAAACTTAATCCTACCATTTATCAAACACTTTTTGTACATTATTGTCGGATGGCATCGAGGGCCACTGAAAAAGGAACACGGTGTTAATGGCTATAAGATGTTATAGAAAATCAAGCCAAGAGTTAACAGAAAAACATACCAATATAATGGAGTAATTATACATACTTCGTCCTTTACAGCATAGTGACAAGCAACTTTCAGTGTTTTCAGGCATTGCAATTGTGGTAGAGGAATGTCCAATACTTCATAATAAAGAATATCAGAGATCTATCAAAAGGAAACCATAAATTATTAATCCATGGATCAACGACTCCACCTTAACAAGAAAAGGAAAAAGCAGGAGAATTCATGTGAGGGCTACCTGATTGTAGTGCATAAGCATGTCTACCAATTGATCAACTGATCTATATTTGATGGGAGTGGGCTTTGGTTGCTGAGAATAGCAATTATGGGAGTGGGCTTTGGTTGCTGTGCGGAGCAATTTCTTGAATTTTTTTTTCCTTGCTCCCTCCTTTTCCCTATTTCTTATATTCTAATGCAACTAATAATTAAAATAAAAACAAAAGAAAGTGCGGAGCAATTTCTTCAATTTTTTTTTTCCTTGCTCCCTCCTTTTCCCTATTTCTTATATTTAATCATAAATATAAATTCATAAAGTACATGTTTAATAATTGAGTCATTTAAATAACTTAATTATTTTGCAAATTTGTATGAAAATATGTATATATATAGTAACCTAGATGAAC